AAAGGATCACAAGCAGAAGAAGAAGTTTCCCTGCAGTGCTGGTATATTCTTTGTCTTTATATGATGCTGGTTCCTTGGATAGGTTCACTTTCTGAAAAGTCCATGAACTATATACTCATGATATAACTGTCTGTGTGTATCATTTTTTTCAAAGAATTGAAAAAAACTTTTTTTAACTGCCCTACCTGTACATAAAATCCAGCGGACCCAATATGCATATATAAGAGCACCCCAGAACAAGACTGGAAGTACATATTGCCTTTTGGTGAATTCCTTCAGGAAATAGGCTAGAAGCCTGTGCCAAGCTGAGCCATATTGGAGCCGAAAGCAAAAGGAAAAATCAATAATATTGATTTGGGTTTTATTTAAATTTTTTGTATTTTGTTCATCGTGGACTTTTTCCACCTTAATTTTTATTTTAAAAAAACATTCCATTAAAATGCTTTTTATCTTGATTACTGAACTTCTCGTCCCCAATTTAAATTTTGTACCATCCTAGTCCCAGTCCCAGTGGTAACCAGAAACAGCTCATCATTGATTCTGGCTCATCAAAAACCCAAATTCCATCTTCCCCATGGAAATGTCCCACACAACCAAAAGCACAAAAAAACAACTCTGAAAATAACAGCTTCCTTAACAATAACATCAGCCTGTCCACTGATGTAGTCTATACATTACTTCCACATTATTTCATTTATCCTCACAGTAAGCTTGATGAAGACATCAGTAATATCTCATTTGTAAGTAAAATGAGGCTTTGCCTTGGTAGGAAACTATCCTTTCCAAGATTATTTTGAGCAGGGACAGTGTATAAACTGATCTCTCTATAATTATCAGTGTCTAGGACAATGTCTTACAGTTCAAAGGGTCAGATTGCATGCCTCCAAATCCTGGATCCATCATTTTCTAGATGGCTGTGTGACCTTGAGTAAATTACTGAATTTTTCTAAGCTTCATTTTGTCATCTGCAATAGAAAGATAAGAATAATTAATTCCCTGTGAGGATTATATAAGATTATCCATGCAATGTACTTAGCAATGTGTTTGGTACAGAGCAGGTACTTAATAAATGTTAACTATTTTTGCATGCAGTACAGACTTGGAAATACTCACAGAAAGGACCAACTGTCACGATAAACTTTTGGTTGGGGGCACCTTTCAACTGCCATCAAATCACCCTGAGATGGGAGCTTCCACTGGAATCTACTATCAGAAAAATTATCTGAATCCTGGAAATAGACAAAAGAGATTATTGAGGGTTTTTTCAGTGCAGTGCTGATCAGTGCTGATAGCTATTTCCAGGGCTATTTTACAACTCTGTAAGGGCACAGGTTAACGTGTAAAATTTTGAATGGTGGAGATGCAAGTAATTTAAGGCCAGGAAGCAGATACCCCATAGATTGCGATGTATGGCCCTACTGGACTTGAACCCAGCAATGTGTGTGTGTGTGTGTGTGTGTGTGTAATATAATTATGCTATGTCAAATATATATATGTACATATATTAGATATTCTATATATTTATTATTATTTGGGAATCTGGGGATATACACATAAATATGTGTATATATTATATATTTATTATATATTATTATATACCAAAATTATATATAGCATAGTATGTATTATATAACAATTGTATTTATATAACACATACTGTTATAACATAATTATGTCATATATATAATATACATACGTACATATATAAATATATACATATTTAATACATACATATATTTTATACACACATGTATGCATATATCCCAAGCTTTTCAAATGCTCTTTGGACAGGTTTCAACATATTACTGGTTCTTTAATTAATTAATGAGTTGAATAAAATCTTTGACATGTATTTCTTTTGTATTTGCCTGAGTCTTTTTTTGTTGTTTTTAGAGTCATGATTTTTTTAACCTTTTGAAAATTATACTTTAATACCATGCACAGAGACAAGGCTTCCTCTGGGGGCCCCAAAACAGTCCTTTAAGGAAGCCATGTGATTTCAGGCTGATCAGAAACATCCCAGCAACACATTTTAAATTGAACTGGCCCCCTGCCTCAGGCACAGACAGTGTGGGAGCTTTAGGACTTCACTCCTGAGCTCGACTGAGGAGCTTTCCTCCCCGGTTTCCAAAGAGGGCTCCAGGTCCGAGCAAAGACTGGACCTGCCCCCTCTAGGGCTTACCAAGTATTTGGCAAAGTGCAGAGATAACATTCTGTGCAAATTTCCTCACATTGTTCTGCCTGGCTCTGAATGCTCCCAGATGGGATACTCTAGAGATAAATGACGGGAAAAGGATGGAGGACTTGGGTCTCCCCCTCCACACATCCCAGGCATTCCCATTATTACCTTCCAGCCACTCAGGATGAATGTGACCTTGTCTCACCTTCTCATTCTGCTACTTTCTGGCAACAGCTAGAATTAGAAAATCTCTTACCTCCTTTGGAATCCCAATGAAGATACTCTCCTACTGGAGTCAGAATAAAACCTTAGTGCTGCGGGATAGGGCTTGTGGTAATAGGCAACTGTCTCTGAGTGCTTCCTCTGTGGGGTGCAGCAGTGAGAATGAATCGGGGAGCCATATTCTGGTATCCTCTTCTCTCAGCCTTCATTCTGCTTCCAACCAGGACTTCCTAGTTTCCTTTCTGCTCCAACCCTATCCCCAGATCCCTTCCTAATTACAAGAGAAAACTTCTGATCAAAGCAAAGAGAAAAAAAGAACCATCATACCTTAGCCTTAATTTTTAAAAATCATTCACTCAACAGATATTTATTGAGTTCTTTGTATTTGCCAGATATTGTGCTAGGGGCTTGGGTCACAAGAAATCCCAGCTATTCCTGGAGTTTATATCCAGTGGATAAGGAGGGAGATATAAATCCCTAAATAAATAATACTGTTACAGATTGCCATGAGTGCTATGAACTAAATACCAGGGGTGTGGGGACAAGGTAGAGCATCTCCCCCAGATAGGGTTGTTGGGGAAGAGTTCTCCAAGAAAGAGATACTTGAGCTCAGGTGTAGACAATGAGGGAAAAGCTAGGCTGGGGAAAGTGTGGAGGGAGAGAATAGAGGGACCAGCAACCAGTGTCATGGTGTGTGAAGAGTCTGGTGTGTGTGAGGAGTACTGAGGGCTAGCCAATCCCCAAGATGGCCCCCAGTGAGTCTCATCTCCTGATACTCATGCCTTTATGCAACTCCCCCACACAGTGAGTTAGGCTGGTCTACATGGCCAATAAAAAGTTGCAAAACTGAACGAGTGTACCTTCCAAGCCTAGATCATGAAGGGCATTGCAGATGCTGTTATGCTCTCTTGGATCACTCAAGCAGCATTATGATATGAAGCGATCCACATGGCAAGGACCTGAGGCCTCCTGCAAAAAAGCAAAGTGAATCAGCCACCTTGGAAGCAGGTCCTCCAGTCAAAATTCCAGATGACTGCAGCCTCATGAGACACCCTGAACCAAAGCCATCCAGCTACAACATTTCTCAGGTCCAGATCCACCGAAACTGTATAAGGTATTAAATGTTGATTGCTGTCATTTATGTGAGCCCTGGGTAATTGGTTACACAGCACTAGTTAACTAACATAGCCACCCAAATGTGGTGAGCCAGGCAGAGGGTGGTGGCAGAACAGTTAACCATGGCCAGATCACAGGGTGGCTGGGGGCTACAGTGAGAGTGTGGATTTTATTCTAAGTTTGATGGAAATTTAAGGTATGTTTTACACAGAAGAGCAGTGTGATCTAATTTGTGTTTCATAAACAGCATTGCATTGTGGAGAATAGATTTTAAAGGGATAAGAAAAGAAGCAAAGAGACCAATTGGGAAACTATAGCATTGCTCCAGGATGTTCAGAGAGATGAGGGTGGCTTGGACTGGGCAGGTGGCAGCAGAGACGGAGAGAAGGGGATCCATTCAAGATATATTCTAGAGGCAGAATTATAAGGACCTGTTGATAAACTGGATGCAGGAGATTAAGGAAAGGGAAGAATCAAGACTGTATGAGTTAGGGTTCTCCAGAAAAACAGAACCAATGAGATAGATATGGACTTATAGATATAATGATATATAGAAAGAGAGTTATTATAAGGCATTGGCTCACATGGTTTTCAAGGCTAAGAGGTCCCACAATCTGCCATCTGTGAGCTGGAGGCCCAAAGAGCTGGATGTGTGGTTGGGAGCCCAGAAAGCTGCAGACCTGGTGAGTGGATTCCAGTCTGAATCTCAAGGCCTGGAAAGCGGGAGTGAGGACAGCAGGAGGTCAGTGTCCCACTCAAGTACAAGGCACAGCACAGACTCAACCTTTCTCCACTTTCTGTAATATTCAGGCCTTCAGTGGACGAGATGGTGCCCACCCACATTGGGGAAAGCCATCTACTTTACTCAAGTCAACACCAACTCAAATGCTGATCACTTCTGGATAAACACCCTCATAGAAACACCCAGAAATAATGTTTAGCCAGATAACGTTGTATCCTGCAGCCCAGTCAGATTGAAACATAAACTTAACTATCACAAAGATGACACCCAGGTTTTCAGTTTGAGTAACTGGATGGAAGGCGGTGCCATTTACTGAAATGGAGGACACGTAGAGGAATGGGTTTGGAGGTAACTGAATCAAAAGCAAAAGCGTAGCTCCTCCCCCAGTTTTGTTTTGTTGTTGTTGTTGTTGTTGTTGTTTTTACATTTGAGAGCCTTTGGTACCACATGGGTATAATTATACAGACATGACATTAGATACACCTTATCAGCTGAGTTTTATTCAGCAGCCTTCCTTCAGCTACTTGGACCTTCACACTGTTCAAGATCTGCTTGCCCTTTGCTCTCCTCACAGGCAGTTGATGCCACAGTCCAGAGTGACCACAGGGCTGTTTTGGCAATTGTACACTTAGCACACATTTCACTGAGTTTTCCCCCTCAGAATCCTGAGGGTCTGCTCATTTATAAAGGACACAATCTTGTCCCTTAAGCCTGGTGATATCAACCTCTCCAGAGAGTGTGGTGCTTGCTTCAGCAGCATATAGACTAAGATTGGAAGAACACAGAGATAGATCTGTATGGCCCTTGCACAAGAATGACATGTAACCTCTCCAGAGAGTATAGTATGATTCTTTGCTTTAATTGATTTCTTTTGCCCCTACTGTTCTGTTTGAGTTTCTTTATTTGTTTGCACTAAAGATTGATTTGTTTAAAATTGGATATCATAAGTTTAATTCAAAAGCAAAGTCTTAATTACGCTCTGTATAACAGATTAATGAGAACAAGTAAATAGTCATATTATAGAGAGTTATTGATGAAGGGCAATGCTTTGTCAGGCTAAATTAACAAATGAAGTAATGCCATACATTTTAATGGGATTTGGTGGTTGTGCTGTATTATTTGCTTTTGTTTTGTTTTTTAGCAGAATAGAGGTCAGTCTGAGGGCATGCAATGAAAATATTTCTTCCCCACTAAAAGTAGTAGTGTGTTTCAACTCCAGATGATGTGCCCTATTATGAGGGATTTCAGAATAGAATTGCTCTTACCAAGTGGAGAACTGTGTTGGTTGTCAGAGGGTCTCAGTACAGCCAGCCCCTGGGTCAGGTCCTAAGGTCTGTCCCACCCTTCCTGGCAGCACTCAGCCCGGCTGCTCTCCCCACTGCTTATTGAAGATGCCAGGCTAAATCTCACAACGTCAAGTCTCATAACAGCTATGCCTTGTTAGCCATGACTCCAACTCTGTCCCCACACTGTAGGTTCCAAGGAGCTTAGTGGCAACGAGTGAAGCTTATTACAATGGATCTCCCCAAGGACTTAGCACAGTGTCAGTAAATGCTGGCTGTTTCACTCAAAAGAAAGAGAGGAAAAGTTACATATATGAATGCAAATATAGATATGGATGATACACATACTTATGAATGGAAAAAAGACCAAAGAAAGTAAAATGAACCATTGGCAAAGGTTACGTCTGTGAAATAGGATGGCACTTGATTTTTTTTTTTTTTTTTTGCTTTTCAATATTTTCTACAATAAACATTTGTTCATTTAACAAATACTTTTTGTATGCTTACCACACATTAGGCATTGTACTAGGCCCTGGGGGATATAAAGATGGAATAGACACAAAATACTTCATGTAAGCATGTCTGAAGGCAGTCTTTGGAGGTAGGGTAAGCTTTCCATAAGAAGTAACATTTCCATCAAACCTGGAAGACAAGAACTGCTATTACTTTTATAAGCATGTTAAAACAAATGGTTTAAAAATTAGTATTGGCTGTTATTAGATGAATGGAATTGAACATGGAATGTGAATAATGAATGAATGCATGCATATATGAAAAATGAATATAAAATTTTCAAAAATCAGAAAAATCAAATGACTGTCCACTTACCACCAATTTGAGGATAAATCACAAGTTGGAAAACAATTGCCCAACTTTTAGCCCAGAGTCATTCCTTCAGGCCCTTCCTACTCAAAAAGTGTGGTCCAAGGACCAGGGGCATCAGCATCACCCAGAACTTGTTAGAAATTTAGAATCTCAGGCCCTAGCCCAAACCCACCGAATCAGAATCAGCATTTTAACCAGAACACAAATGAATTGTAGACACACTGAAGCTTGTGAAGGGCTAGGCTTGTCATTCCCAGTCTCAAGTGCACATTAAAATCATCCTGGAGCTTATACAAATTTAATTGCCCAGGGTAGCTTGGTGTTTACACACACACGTCCTGAGTCTCATTTCCAGTTTCTCTCATTTATTAACCATGTGGCCTTAGGCCAGGTGCATGACTTTTGGCACCTTGGTTTCTCCAATTACGCAGTAGCCAGCTACCTGGCTCCCAGGGCTTCCTGTCTCCTGGTATTTACGCTCTTCTACAACCCACTCCCCTGAAGTGTGGGCTAGGCTTCATATCTTGCTTCTAATGAAAAGAATCCAGCAAGAGTGATAGGATGTCATCTCCAACTTTAGGTAACAAAAGCTCCCATCTTGCTCATGCACTAACTCGGACGAAGCAAGTTGAGCCCACATGGCAAGGGACTGGGGCCCTGAGTCTTACAGCCACAGCACACTGAATCCTGTCAAAAGCCACATGACCTAGTTCAAAAGTGAATTCTTCCTAATCAAGCTTGAGGTCACAGCAGCCCTGGCCAACACCTTGATCACTGACTTACGAGAGATGCTGAGCCCGAGGACCAATCAAGCCACAAGTAGCTGCTGGATCCACAGAAACTGTGAGAAAATAAATAAATTTTGTTGCCATGAAATTTTAGCAACACATAGATAACTCAAATAACCAATAAAATGGTAATGATGTAGCACTCATTGATAGAGTTTTTGCTAGATTAAATAATTTCCAAGAAGTGCTTAGAACAGGGCCTGGTGTATAATAAACATGATTTACACTTTGCTATTAGGCATCATTAGAAAGCACTGATGCCCTAAGTACCTACTGAAGGATGTAAGCACTTTATCACTAAATGGCCCTAGTCCCCTCTGCTTTCTGAAAGTTTCCTTCTCTACCTTACTTGTCATTTAACTGTCCCTCCAAGTTGGCGTCACTGGGTCTGGCAGTTTTTCCTAACCCCAGTAATAACTAAGTAAATAAACTGTGTCTAATCTGCGATAGTCTGGGAAACCTGACAAATAAATGTGTTATTATTGTGCCTAAACCAAAAGTAAAGAGGCTCTGATTTAGTATCGGAAAAAGTTTTCCCATGATACAATTAAAGCCTTTTGGTTTGGTGTGTGTGTGTGTGTGTGTGTGTGTGTGTGTTTTAATCCAAAGTGTTTGCTACCATCTTTTTTGATGCCCAAAGACCCTGTTGTTTCAGTTTCTCAGCTATGTCATGGTCGGTGAGGCCACCAGATTTAGGAGACGTCCTCTCCTGTCTGCTGTGAGATGAGTACATTCTACACCAATGATGTCATTCATTGCATCTCTGATTCTCATCATGCCTAGGCTCACTTTCTCTTAGCCCAATCCAGAATGTGTTGATTTCAGTCAAACAACACCATTTGTTTGTAGTGCCTCAGTTTAATGAAATTTAATTGCTGCCATTTGCTGTCAAGAGTCCTAATTTATGCACAGGGTTTAAGGGAGATGTGTTAGACAAGCCTCATCTGAGATCTGGAGAGTAAGTCGCATGTTAAGTGTATGCGGGAGGAGAGAGAGGGCTGGAAGATGGTTTAAGGCGAAAGGAACAACTTGCATGGGTTTTTCAAGATGAAAGAAGTAAGGCAAGTCCGAGGGCCAGGAACAACCCAGCGTGGCTGGAGTGCAATGCAGGAGGCAGAAAGTGCACTAGATATGAGAGGAACCAAAGCACACGGCCCTCACATACTGGCTATGAATGTAGGCTTCGGTCTGAGGGTATCGGCATGACACTGAAGGGCATTATGTCAGAGGTTGGCAAACTGTAGCTCTGAACCAAATCTGCCCTCCACCCATTTTGGTAAATACATTTTTACTGAAATAAAGCCATAGCCACTCACGTACACAGGATATGTGCTCCTTTCACACTACAAACACAGTTGAGCAGCCATAACTGAGACAGCCCAGCCTGCAAAGACTAAGTTATGTACCATCTGATTCTTTACAGAATTTGCCAGTCCCTGTTTTAAGCTAATGGGTTCTATGCTCAGACCTGCCTTCTGCACAGATTCTGGGTGCTGATCTAGAATGTGCTGACACGGGGGCGGATCTGCTGCTACCCTTCCCTTCTTTGTACCTCAGCGGGGGCTAGCACACAGTGAACTGTCCTCATGTAAGAAAGATTAGGGGGAGGGCGAGGAGGAGGTTCATGGTTTGCATGGTCCACAGAGAGGTAAATTAGAGTCTACAGGAGCTGGTTACATTTTTAATAAGCAAAGAGCATTTTGGAGAACAAGAGAGACAAAATAGAAATATGTTGTTTTCCTTTTGTTGATACATCAGAAAATATGGTGGCAAGTTAAGTACAAAAAAATCTAGAGCAGGTTAGTAGTTTAAAACAAAACAAAAACCAAAAAGCCATCCCCTTACCCCACCCCCAGGCCTGACTTCTATGTGTGCAACCACTCTCTCCTCGCTGATGGTCTCTAAGGCAGTACAAACCTGGGGGCGCTGTTTTGCAATCCAAGGAAGGAAAGTCCCAACCATGTGAGAAAAGACCCCACAGGTCCCAAATGCACAGTTGCTCAGGTTGCACCCCTGCTCGGGTTGACTTGGGAGCAGTGTTTGCTAAGAAAACAATTGTTATTCTCTCACTTTGGTTGGGAGTGGGGGGGGGCGAGCTAGAAAACATGAAGCCAAGGGCAGTTGTTTCTCCAGGACAGCTGGCAGAGACCCAAAGTACAAAGTTGTCTACAAACTCTCGAATCAGTGTGAGACTTGAAAGAGAACTATGTGCTGGCAACGTGGGCTGGCCCGCCTTGCCAGAGCGGAATTGAAACCATACCTCTACCTCATGCAGACATCACCCAGTGGAAGGATGTTCTTATAAATCCCAGCCTGGAGGCCATCTCATCTGCAGCCCCTCCCTGTTCCCCTTCTCTTTCACTCCTCAAACCAGAAGAACTTAATAAAAACAGAAGGAACACATCTCTCCAGAGCTTCTCTGAGCTGAAAGAAGTAGAGAAATAAAAATACACAGGATGGGGCACCTGAGTGGCTCAGTCAGTTGAGCGTCTGCCTTCCGCGAGGGTCATGATCCCAGGGTCCTGGGATGGAGCCCTACGTGGGGCTCTTTGCTCAGCAGAGAGTCTGCTTCTCCCTCTCCCAGTCCTCCTGCTTGTGCTCTTGCGTGCTCTCCTCTCTCTCTCTCTCTCTCTCTCTCTCTGTCAAATAAATAAATACAATCTTTTTTAAAAAATACACAGAGGATGAATATAACCTCTGTGCTCACTTCTTGGCTTCCAGGGGACTCCGCCATTGTGGCCTATTTGATCAGGGCCACAGTGTGCGATGCAAACCCATGGGCATGGGGGTAGGGCTCCACAGTGCCTGCAGCACCACGAGGCCCTGATCTAGCTGCCTTTACTTGAGCCACTCTTCCTGGTTTCTAGCACACGAATTCCTGACATCAGTCCAGAGAAACTCTCAAATTAGCCCAGAGAGAACACAAACAATTACACCCTGGATTACTATACTTGCAT